AGTACCATTTACAATAGTTACCAAAAAGATAAAATAATTAGGAATATATGTTACTAGGAACACAAAAGACCTCTACAAAGAAAACTACAAAGCACTACTACAAGAAACCTATATAAATGGAAGAATGTGTCGTGTTCATGGATAAGAAGACTGAATACTGTGAAAATGTCAATACTACTCAAACCAATCTATATATTCAATTCATTCCCAATCCACATTCCATTAGCAATCATTAAAGACATGGAAAAACCAATCACTATATTCTTATGGAAAGGAATGGGACATCAGATAAGCAAAGCACTACCAAAGAAGAAAAACAAAATAGGAGGTATCACGTACCCCGATCTTAAAACCTACTTACTGTACAGCCACAGTAGTTTAAAAAACCTGGTATTGTTACAACAGAAAAAGAGACCAGTGGAACAGAATTGAGAATCCAGAAATATATCCATCTATCTATGTTGGGCAATCCTACTTCCGTAGTGATACTGCCTCGGAAACCCAAGGAGGGGTCGCTATGAGTCGGGATGACTCGACGGCACATAACAACAACAACAACATGGACAGCTGGTCTTTGACAAATGGCCAAACCCATTAAATGGGGGAGAGATACCCTCTTTAACAAATGGTGCTGGCAAAACTGGATATCCATTTGTAGAAAAATGAAACAAAATCCATACCTCACACCATACACAGAAATTAAGATGGATCAAGGACTAAGCAGAAAACCCAAAACTATGAATTTCATCAAAGATAAAATAGGGTCAAACAAGGGGCCTAATTTATAACATAAATAGACTTACATGCATAACCCAAAATACACAAGCAGCAGTAGAGAAACTAGATGAGTGGGAACTTCTGAAGATTAAATTCTTATACACATCAAAAGACTTCTCTAAAAGAGCAAAAAGAAAACCTACAGATGGGGAAAATATATTCGGCAATGACATATACAACAAGGGACTCATCGCTAATATTTATAGAAAAACACTTCAACATCTCAACATCAAAAAGACAAGCAATTCAATTCAAAAATGGGCAAAGGACATAAATAGATACTTCAGCAAAGAAGATATTCAGGCAACCAACAAACACAGGAGGATATGCTCACGATCATTAGCCATTAGAGAGGCGCAAAAGAAAAATGAAGTATCATCTCACCTCAGCATTAATAGCAATGTTCAACAAGGCAGAAAATAACAAATGCTGGTAAAGGCGTGGTGGGACAGTAAAATGGTACAACCACTGTGGAAAACGGTATGGCACTTCCTTAAAAATTGGAAATAGAAATACCATTTGATCCAGCAATTCCACTGCCAGGAATACATCCTACAGAGGTAAGAGCCAAGACACGAACACATACATGCATACCCATGTTCATTGCAGCACTATTCACTGTAGCCAAGAAATGGAAACAACCTCCAAAACAGATGAATGAGTAGCCAAATTATGGTATAAATATACAATGGAATACAATGCACCATTAAAGAATAATGAAGAATCCAGAAATCACCTCATAAAGTGATGAGTTGAGTGAAATAAATCAATCACAGAAGGATAAACATCTGCCCGACTCATAGCGATCCCTCCTTGGGTTTCCGAGGCAGTATCACTACGGAAGTAGGATTGCCCAACCTTCCTTCCGAGGAGTGGCTGGTGGGTTTGAACCGCCAGCTGTCTGGTTAGCAAGCGTCTTAGCCACTATGCTACCAGAAATATGTATGAGTCACTTACTATAAAAAGTCAAAGAAACGTTTACACAGGGAAGGAAATTTACTTTGTTGGTTACCAGGGATGGGAGGGAAGGGAAGAGAAAATTCCTGACTAGTTTAGAGTCATGTATTGATTTGGATAAATGGAAAGGCAATATAATCAAAGTATGTGACCAGCACAACAGGGAAGAGGACGACACAGAGAGGTACACAAAAGGTATAGACAACACAGACAAATACTATTACATATACAATACTGCATTATCAATAACAACAAACACTACTCTATAGATGAATACATAGGCAGACAGGCAATAAGATCAGGTATGGGTGGACGAATGACCATATATAGATTTGGTACGCATATTCATATATAGATTTGGCTGATAATATTCCTACATGTATGTTTTTGCTACAAAAATTTTCATATACATTACAGAACTAACAGGGATAAGGCTGAGGTAGCTCCTTACCCAAAAACAAGCACCTTAAGGAAGAGTCACCTGGCCTGTGGGCTCAGGACCCTTGTCTCAGGGGGGCATCAAGCTCAAGTGGCACAACACAGTACATAAAAATATTTGTTAGGAATATATTCCTAATTTGTTGAGTAGCGACCAGGGTCTTAAAAGCTTTCCAGAAGCCATCTGTTGGTCTTTCTTGCTCTAGAGGAAAGACGAGTGAAGAAAATCAAAGACATATGGAAACAATTAGTCCAAGGGACTAACAGGAACCTCAGCCTTCACAACACTGAAATTAGATGAAATAGATTGTGCCCAGTTCCCCTCCCAATGCTGACCACTTGGAAAAGGATCAAAATTGGAGATCTTGGATAGAGTGGGAGAAAAAATATAGACTAAAATTCAACAACACAAAAGCGACCAGAATTATTGGTCAAATGGACTGGTGAGACCCCAGAAACTATGGCCCCTGGTCATCCTTTGGGCCTGGAACTGGACTCACTTCTGTGGATTATATCTCAGACAAACAAAGGCCTATGACTGGAACCCCTACCGCATGGAGATGCACCCCTTAGAACAGTCAATGGTAAGAGATGATAAGGACAGCATTTACATAGGGGGGGAAAGCTGAACAGACAGAAATGTACAGGTAAGAAGGACACAGGGAGGAAATGGGAGGAGAGCTATTTATCACTGGGTTTGTAATTGGTGCCATGAAACAAAATATGTATGAACTGTTGAGTGTAAAATATATCTGTTTTTTAAATTTGGACCCAAATTACAATTTTTTTAAAAAAATTTTTAATCTACATTTCATATATCACATTCAAACTTACTGAAAATCAAAGGCAACGAAAACACCTTACCTATATAGGAACAAGGGTAAGAATTACATTAGCAGAAACCATAGGGTTCCCAAGGCTATAAATCTTTACTGAAGTAGACTGCCTCATCCTTCTCCCAAAAGTGGTTGTTGCATTCAAACTGTCAACCTTTTAGTTAGTAACCAAATGCCCTAACCACTCCCGAAAGAGAGAGAGAGAAAGAGAGAGAGAATGAATGAATGGATAAATAAATAAATGATAGTCCATCTAGAGGTGGCACAAACTGTTAAGTACTCAGGTGCTAAACTAAAGTTTGGTGGCTTGAATCCAACCAAAGGCACTTCAGCAGAAAGGCCTGGCAACCTATTTCAAAAAAAAATCTGCCACTGAGGAGGAAATAAAAAAAGAGAGAATAATAAACCATGTTAACACTAATCAAAAGGAAGCTAGAGTAACAATATTAATTTCAGACAATGCAGACTTCAGAGCAAAGAAAATTATAAGGGATTAAAAAGGGCATTATATAACGATAAGGGGGTCGAGTCTCCAAGACAATGTAACAAGCCTAAATGTGTATGTATCTAACAAAGCACCAAAATACCAAAGGCTAGAACTTCAAAGAGAAATAGACAAATCCACTATTATAGCTGGAGACAAAACTCCTCAATAACTGACAGTTTCAGCAGGCATTAAATAAGAAAGGATACAGATGAACTGAATAGCACCAGCAAACAACTGGGTCTAACTGCTGACATTCTTCTCAAACTCTGAGACATGGACCAAGAAAGACCATATTCTGAGGCATCAAATACATATTAACAAATTTAAAATAACAGAAATCATATAAAGTAGTCTCGGAGACCACAATGGAAATACACTAAAAGCAGTAACATAAAAACAACTGCAAAATCCCAAAATATTTGGAGATTAAGCAATACATTTCTAAATAGCACATAGGTCAAAGAAGTCTCAAGAGAATTTAAAAAATATTGTGAACTAAATGAAAATAAGCTTATCAAAATGTGTAGGATGCAGAGATAATGCTTAAAGGGAAAGTTACAAGCATTGAGTAAAGGCTGTTGCATGGTTTTCTCTGTGATAAATCACTGTGTACTTTTAAATAAGTATTATATTTCACCATGAAAAAAAAAGGGCTTTCTAAAGCCTCTGTATGAAATGCTGAGCAAATTAAAAACCCTCAAACATAATTAGTATAGATATAAAAGTAACAAATGCCCATTTAAGTTCATTCTTAAGTAAATGTAGAACAGTACTGAAAAATTTAGTTGTATTAAAAAATAATTTACTATATCCAGCACAGTACCAGATTGATAGCTAAAGAGACTAAAAGGTATCTTAAGGCTATTTTCCTCAGGAAAATTGCTACTTCTTCTTAAACGTCTGTGTTTTAAAGATGGCTGTCTGAAATGGGAGAAGAAAATCCCACCTAGACTGAGCTTCTATATAAAATGAAAAGTATATCCCTCACTCACAACTTTTATTAATTCTGAGAGTACAGGAATAAGAATCATAAAGACTTATGGTTATTTCAAACCAAAGTGAAAGACCTTGAGAATATGACTTTCATTTTGTAAGATGTGCACTACAGACAGTACCTATTGGGAAGTGATCAGGTGACCACAGGAACCTCATAATTCATAATCATGAACTAATGTGAATATCTTTGGGCTGTCATCTCATATCAATTCCTGCTCCTAGACTGCAATATAAGTACCTCTAAAGCACCTTCCAGGAAAGGGTTGTCAAGAACCTTCTAGAAAAATTCATTTTAAGATTTACCAACTATTACTTACATAAAATTCTTCCTTAAATATAACCCAAATCTCTTCTGATTTGGATTACCTTTACTTTCCATTTATTTAACCAACAATAGAAATAGCAAACAACTGGCCTTCCTTTGGATTCTTTGAAGTGGAAAGGCAAAAACAGATTAAACTAGGACAAAATTTCTCTCAATGAAAGTACTATAAATTAAAATGTTATACCCATTATGCCAGGCCAAGCTAAATCTTCATGATCATCCCTTTCTTTTCCTGGTGCCAAGTGATTGAATCGATCCAGATGTTCTAACAGTCCACCCAATAGAGGAACAGCTCCAGACTCTTGCATGAGACCAGCATTTTTACTGAGCAAAAGCATTACAGACACTACTAGTTCTGGAAGGAGAACACCTAAATTAAAAAGAAAAAAGAATGAAAGCACTCAAATTTAAATTATAGAATCGCTTATAAACTTCCTCTAAATTCTGCTAAATTGGGAAAAAAGGAAAGCTTTATCCTTGAACATAATTTTACAGGTTATTTTACCTTTCATTTTCAAACAGAATCCATAGAATTATAAGAATATTCTTCAAAAATACTGTTTCAACACAGAGCTATTATCTAAAGAGTCTTTTATTTTTAAAAACATATAATACATATGCCATTAAAAAGAAAATTATATGCTCTAACGTCATGAAATTAATTTAAATAAATAGTAAGTAATATTAGAATTTATTAAGCTTCTGAAAGGGGCAACTAATTTTTATGTTGAAAAAATAAAATTAGACAACTGCCATCAACTTCATTATTGAAGTAATAGTGGTATAAAATCTAATCATTAACTACAGTAATGATTCTCATACCAGTCGCTTAGTAACAGAATTTTTAATGACTAAAAAAGAAAAGGAAAGAGGGCAATTGGACTAAAATATTTAAAGAGCAAACACATGCAGTTTTATCAAGAAATAATACATTTCAGCTTTCATCAATCTCCTAAAATAAATAATTGTGCACCAGATAGAAATAAGAACAGTACCAGTGAAATCTCCTTCCATGATATAGGCCACTTCTGCAAAATGCCGCCAGCTAGTAGAAGCGATGCTAGCTGCCACAGGCAGTATATCTCCAATGTGTGTGCACAGAAGGGCTGTATACTTTTTCAGCAAGGAGCCCACGCCCATTAGATCAGGACCTTGAAAACAAATTTAGGAAATTTCATTTTCACTTTATTTTGTAAACAAATTGAACATCTCCACTATTCCCCTTTCATCTTTTCATCTGTAATATTTTCTCAACAGAGCATATTAACACTAAGTCCTTGATTCTTTTTTATATCATGTGACTTAATAGTAAGTTTGATAATGTCAAATTTTAAACACTGTACTACATATTACCTAGAAACTTTGGGTATATAAATACTAAAGTCATAATTTAATAGATTTTATAAACTTCTTATCTAATATACATATGTTTGTTTTCAAAGTCCAAGTCCTAAAAGCTTATAAACTATCCCTAAGTAACAAAGTTAGGCATTTTCAGTCTTATCAAATCTTCAACTTTTCTACCCACAATATTCTTAAAAACTTTTCAATCATTTTGATGTCTTTCTGATGGGCACTCCCTTCATACTACAAATTCACCTATTTGAACCTGAACATTTTCATCATTTACAAGTGCTTAACTTTTTTCAGGAACTAACCAAATTATTTTATAAGAATAAAAAATAGCTATAAAAATACTGACAAAAGCAGCAGGCCTTTCCACTCTGGACAGAGAAAGCTGCATATAAGGAGTAAAGAAACGACCTCAAATGCATGTGGGAAGTAGCAGTGACCATGTGGCATGCATAGTGCTGGGGCCCACACACATTATCCAGTTCTAGTCCTCACAGGCACCAAAAAAAAGCATGCTGCTATTTTGTAAATGAGAAACCTATGGCCCTCAGGAGACTAACTTAGTCCAATGTCAAAAAGCTAACAAACCATAGAATTATAACTAAAACGCTGTGTTCTGCCAATGATTATTCTGCCCACTGCACCCAAGCGACTTCCCAACGTGATATACTAAGTAGTACATCACTGTTTAGTTTCTATATTATGTCAGTCTCCAATGTTCAAAAATTAATATATGGAATAGATTTGATAAATGTTTTAAAAAACTAAACTGAACAAAAAGAATGGTATTTCTGATCTCTCTAAAGAATTTAAATCTGGTGACAATAAATACAGAAATAAGGAGCTCTGGTGGCATAGCGCCTAAGGCATCTGACTCCAACCACAAATCTGGCAGTTCAAACCTACTAGCCACTCCTCGGAAAGAGGACTGGGCAATCTACTTCTGTGATACTGCCTCGGAAACCCAAGGAGGGGTCGTTATGAGTCAGATACAACTCAACAGCAGTGAGTTTGGTTTTTTTGGTTTGATGGTATATTGGCTGCTAACCAAAAGGTCAGTGGTTTGAACCCACCAGGCACTCCACAAAAGAAACATGAGGCAGTGTGCTTCCATAAAGATGTACTGCTTGGAAACCCAACAGGGTTACTGTGAGTCAAGATCAACTCAATAGCAGTGAGTGAGTGAGTGAATATAGAAATAATCAGCCAAATTAACTGGATCCAAAATGAATTTTTATAAGCCCCCAAAGTAGGCACACATAGGCTCACCAAAATGCCTAAATAAAAAAGTACTAAAATACAAGCTATTTCTACACTTTGGGCAACTTACTAGAAGTATCTGAGAACTGACCAATATTCTCTCCTGGATAGAGTTTACTGATAAGTAAACGCTGAAAGCGCAATAACAAGTCCAAGGAAGCAGATCTTTCATGACTGTGCCGCTCAAAGTCCAGACATGATGAGATACGGCGAGCAGCATCTTTCAATCGGGCCACAGTCTGAGAAGCAATGTTTCTGTGCAGGGGAGAGAGGAGTGCAAAATTAAACAAGTCATTTGTTACATGTTTTACAAAAAAAGAGTGCTTTAAAAAAAAAAAAGTTTCAAGAACTCACAACAGGAACTAAAATCAGAAACACTGCTCATACCCACAGAGGCTAGCCACAGCTACTAGCTTTCCTACCCAAATATATGTCAGACATATCTGCAGCAGTGCTGCATTGAGCAGAGGAGCCTGTAAGACTACAGATACAGACTGCTGCCTCTCTACTTTACAAAACGTACTCCTTAAGAGCTGCATAAAATGGTTCAAAATGATAGAGGATCTTGTTAAAAGAGTAATCTTATAAAAACCTTTGGAAGGAAATCAATTATGTCATTGTCTGTGCACGTCATTGTCTTTGCTCAAAGTTGCATTTCAAACCTAACACTGGTCTTATAGACATCCTTGCTCACAGTGTTCTATCTTCCTTACAAATATGCCTTCAGCACCTATGAAGACCACCATCAGTAGATGGGGAAGAAGGAGAACAGTGAGTTCCCAGAATCCAGAAGCCACAATCAGAAGAGTATTGTGTGTCTCTGGTCCCATGAGGAATATGCAAGGGTAAAGGACTGAGAGAACAAAAATTCCCAGGGTGTGCGGGGTGGGATGGGGTGGTGACGACACTGCTGGTGAGGGAGCAACAAGCTGCTGGGGCTTGAGTCCATAGTCCTGAGCCATCATCTAGTTTGTGTCTGAAGAAGACAGCTCTCTGTCTCTGGGAAAGAAGAGAAGCCTCGTAACAACAGTCCAGGCCCAAAGCAAGGCCTAGTGACTGGTACTAAAAACAGAAGGGAGGTACTGGGTTATCAGAGGAATAATGTCAAGGAGAGAAGAAAAGAACCAAAGACAAAGTCTGGATCAAGAGCTGCCACTGACCATTAGTACATCACAGAAGCCTTGCTTCAGCCTAGAGCCACAAACCAGGCTGGACAACATCAGGCACTGTCACAAACAGGAGAGACTAGGAATCACTATATAACATCAAAGTCAAGGACATACTTTGTGCTTCTACTTTGTTGACTCCTAACCTACCCGGTTTGTTTAGGACCTCCCACAGAAAACAGAGAAGCACCCATGAAGTCCTCTCCTGCTTTCCAAAGTCACATTACAGATTCAGTACCTGACAACCTGCCCTCACACCAAACATCACAAAAGAAACAGGAAGGTCTAGAGCCTAGGTTTTATGCTATACTCAGAAAAGGAAAAGACAATAATAAAATGCAGTAATAATTTTAACTTATTCCTTAGTATAAAATTCAAACCCATAACCAAAATGTGTACTTTAGATAGGGTTCATTACTTACAAACATTTCACGGCTCTTTATTTTCAAATATAAATGGCATCCTGTGCTTCCCTATCAGCATAAGACTAAAGAGCTCCTCTCAAATCTATTTCACAGTTTATTTCTGACAAACAGAAATTTCTTTAATTCAAGTTTTCCCATGTGTAAGTATATGTAATATCTTCAAACTCATTTATATCTTTAGGTTATTTTTTAAATAACTGATCCACTAAGTCAATACTTCAAGTACCCTTTGAACACCACACTTAAATAAAACGTTAACATGTACCTCCGCAAAAGGAATAGCACATGATCAACGCTTTAAAAAGAACCTGGATCATAAGCACTCTGATAGTGATGAGGCTGTGAAAGGATTCTTCTTTTTCTATTTTATAAATGTTTTTAAGTGTTATTTACTTCTATACTTAAGTTGTTCTATTTTTTAAAACTGTTATGGGTTTACTTTAAACCTGGTGTGTAACCAACTCTTCCCCAAATACCACAAAGACCTTCAGTAAAGAAGAAAGAATAGAAGGCAGCCCATGCAGACAGCATAGGGCAGTGCTGACCAACAGAAACATAATGGGCATGCATCTCAGGTGTAAGTTAAAATTTTCTATTGTTGTTGTTGTTGTTATGTGCCGTCAAGTCAAACCCAACTCATAGCAACCCCTCCTTGGGTTTCCGAGGCAGTATCACTACGGAAGTAGGATTGCCCAACCTTCCTTCCGAGGAGTGGCTATTAGTCACATTAAAAAAGGTAAAAAGTAAACAAAATTAATTTTTTAATACTGTATTTTATTCATACCAGAATTTTCAAAGTAATAGTATAATAATTAAGAAAAATTATGGAGGTATTTCACATTAGCTTTTTCACACTAAGTCTTCAAAACCTATTGTCTATGTTATACTTACAGAACATTTCAATTAGAAGACTAAATTTTTATAAAAAATACTGGATCTGTACTTAGATTTACAAAGTACAAACTTGATAAAATAGAATCACATACCCAAGTTATTCCAAATATACTTAAAATTTACCAAGTGCTGAATTGCAGATTGGATTTTACATTTTAATTTTCATTAGTAAAAGTTAAAGTTAATATTATTTACCTAAGAAGCTGCTGCACAAGCTGAACCAGAGGCAAGCACTGTTTTCCAGAAGACTCATAGATCCCCGTATTAATAAGATCTTTATCCAATGGAATTCTACTTCTGTGAAATGACGAGGAATTCGCTTCCTGCTCATCAATTTCTTTCTCCTTCTGAGCTTCTTTTTTGGCTTCAATATCCTGTAACACATCAACCGAAATTGGTTAAGAGTTATCTCATTAGCAGACCTCAGGCAGCGCTAAGATGAACTGTGACCCTCACTGTCTCAGTATCCCTTCGTCTGTTTCAGTACACACATCAAATGATATTTGCCCATACTCCATCTGTCAGAAACCATAATGATTAGTTGCTCAGTTTTTAAACAGATCATTCTGCCTACGATCCAATGTCCAGGCTGTGTCGATGCTGATGCCTCCAGCCTCCTTCTCTAAAATCCCTAACATATTTACTGGCTCTCACAAACACCACATGGGATCGCCCCACACGCAAAAGTCTATCTGTTTTGTAAAAATAACTTCTTTCCCACAACCCAGCAACCACCACAAACTCTCATGAGTCCAATTTCCCCAGCTTCAGAATTCAGTATTCCACCCTTCTGGACTTGCACCACACCTAGCAATGATTCTTACATTGTTATGATTAAGGCCCTATTTAAGTTGGGCCAAAGACCTCAAAGATCACCAACCTCATCTAATCTCATTTCCAATCTCCCACAGTAAAAGAATTCTGACATCATGAAGAACTGAGGAAGGACCATAAAAAAAAAAAAAAAAAAAATTGCACTAAACCTGATGCTTAGAAAATGCATGAAACGTTTCTTCTTTCTGAAAGAAAATCAGTTTTAACACATTCATACTGCCAGGGTCCTGTAAACTATTGCTGACAGGTCAAATTCAGCCTGCCGCCTGTTTTTGTATAGAGTTCAAATTAAGAATGATTTTTACATTTGTAAAATGTCTGACTAGAGAGATTCTGCTTTCTAAATTGCATTTTCCAATAAAAAAAAAAAAAAAAAACTAGGACAACTTAGAGAAAGGGCTGATTCCAGGGCTAGAGCAATGAAAATGCAAAACGAATCTGCAGCATCTTTTGGTGCTAAAAAGTAAGGAAATGCTCCCCAAAAAATGGGAACATGTAAAAGGGACATAAGGGTAAACAGGAAGGACTTCCCAATGGCCAAAGCTGGAACACTCCAAGTGTTATAATCTAGAGAATAAAATAAATACCCATGAGTTCATGCTGATATAAATGAATAAATAAATAAATAAATTGGGGAAATGGGAAAGAAAAATTTTAATTAACATGTGGAGAAGCAATAGATCCCTAGGTAGTGCAAACAGTTTGTTTTCAACTACTGACCTAAAAGTTCAAGTTGGAACCTACCCAGTGGTAGTGAAGACATACTTAGCAATCTGCTTCTTTTAAGATTACAGCCAAAAAAAGTCCTGTAGTCTGTAACACACGGGATTGCCATGAGTGGAAACTGACATGACAACAACTAACAACATACATCTACGTGTATATATATGTATGAAAATAATGTTAATATTTTAGATGAAATGAAGAAAATAGTAAATTATCATTAGAACATCACAATAATGATTGCGGCATGCAACACTGACTAGTGGATGCTAAATTAGCAGGTAAAAGTTTAAGTAGAAATAAGACATATGCACAGTCTAAAAGCACCTACCTGAAGATATTTACTAATACAAAGGAAACGATAGGATCTTTACTGTGGATAATCCTAGAACACACTACCTTAAGTAAATGATCAAGATTAACACGACCATTAATAATACATATAACCATCACGTACCACATGATGATGCCTAACATCTCTAGCTCTTTGACCAAACACACAACTTCAATTTAACAAACATGTTCAAATTAAGGGATCTCCAAAATAATTGCCTAGTACTCTTCAAAAATGTCAGGTTTGTGAAAGACAAGGAAGACAATGGAATTTCAAGAGACTAAGGACAACCTAAATGTTAACTCAAAAGTCATGAAGTTCCTGGAAGAAAATATATGAGCAAAGTTTAACAAACTAACTTTTTTCAGTGACAAATTATCAAATACAACAAGAAATGCACAAAAAAAGAGAACAAAATACGTAACTGGGACTTGAACGTTACATACTTATGCTCATTGACTGACTTTATCAAAGAAGCAAATAGACTACCTACAGACTGGTAAAAAAAATCTTCAGAAATGATGTAACTGATAAAGATCTAATAACTAAAAAATACAGAAAATGCCTACAACTTATCAACAAAAAGACAAATAAACCCGTCAAAAACTGAGCAAAGGACATAAACAGTAACTTCACCAAAGGACTAAACAGTAACTTCACCAAAGAAGGTACTCAAAATATTCAAATTGACAACAGACACATGAAAAGATACACAATGTCATTAGCCAGCCATCAGAGAAATGCCAATCAAAACCAAAATGAGATAACATTTCCACTATCACCAAGATGGCAAAGATTTAATTAAAAAAAAAAAAAAAAACAGAAAATAACAAGTGTTGGACAGTATGTGGAGACATTGGAACATTTATACATTGCTGGTGGGAATAAAAAATGGTATAGTTGTTGTGAAAACTGTCTGGCAGTACCAGAGGTGGAGCTGCCATATGACCCAGCAATTCCAATTCTACGTATAGACCCTATGGACTTAATAGAAGTGACACAAATAGAACCTGCACACCTATGTTCATCACGGTACTATTCACAAAACCATAAAGTTTACACAACCTAAGTATTTAGCAATGGATGAGTTAAATAAAATGTGGTATACAGAGAAGCTCTGGTGGCAAAGTGCCTTCAGGAGGCATCTGACTGCTAACCAGAAGGTTGGCAATTCAAACCTGCCAGCCACTCCACAGAAAGAAGACAAGGCAATCTACTTCTGTAAAGATTTACCACCTCGGAAACCCAATGGGAGTCGCTATGAGTCTGAACCAACTCGATGGCAGTGAGTTAGAGTTTTTTATACACATATAATGGAATACTATTTTGCAATATAGAAAAATGAGTTTGGAGAGAAGTTCTGGCAAGACAGCAGAACAGGGAGACAAGCTGCAAAGACCCTCTGCAAGAATGCAATGAGAAACCAACTGGAAGTGATACAAAGACAATCCTGGAAACCTGAGCTTTGAAAGGGTAAAGAAGTGGATTACATATCAACCAGTAGAAGAACCTGAATGAAAACAGTGAAGGAGGAGACAAACAGAGATGAGGACTGCTGGTTGTCCTGAGGGCGCATCCATTTTGAATAAATGCAAGCATGTCCCAGCAGTAACTTAAAAATTGACTCTGCTGACAAAGGATTCCATGGACAAGGACTGTACTGGTGGTGTCTAACAACCAAAAAGAAAAACAGCAAGGAAGGAGACAAACAGAGCTGAGGACTTCTGGCTGTCCTGAGGTCGCCGCAATTTTGAGAATTTGCAATAGTTTTCCAGTAGCAACCTAAGAATAGACTCTGCTCATCAGGAACCATATGGGAAAGGAATGAACTGGTGCCTGACAAGCAGAAAGGAATATAGCAAAGAAGGAGATAAACAGACTGTGTACTTCTGGTGACTGTCCTGACGGTGCATCCATTTTGAATGTATGTAATCAGAATTCCAGAACAGTAAGAGACAAATAAAACCACAAAGATAAGAGTCAAGGATTTGTTGAAAGAGAACTTCCTTAATATGATGAAACATGAGAATATATCAATTCAGGAAGTTCAACAAACCCCAAAGGGTATACAACCAAGAAGAAAATCACCAAACATATCATAATCAAACTCACCAAAACCAAAGACAAAGAAAGAATCCTGAAATCAGCACAAGAAAAACAAAAAGATGGCTACAGGGGGGAACCAATAAGATTAACCTCTGATTTCTCAGAAGAAAGCATGTAGTCGAGAAGGCAATGGGATGATATATATAACACGTGAAAGAAAAAATTTCCAACCAAAATTATATGCCCAGAAAAATTGTCTCTCAAATATGATGGTGAAATTAGGACACTTCCAGATGAGTAGAAATAAAGGAAATTGGTTAAAAGCAGACCAACCCTACAAGAGATGCTAAAGGAAGTTGTTTAAACAAATAATCAACAAGAGCAAACAACAACCAATGATCAACACACATGCACATATAACCCAGTAACTAATCCATTTATAAAAGTATCCAAAGTAATATAATCTTCTAGGACTGTAAACAGGGAACCAGAACCATCAATTGGTAACTGACAACAAGTACAAACCAAAAAGAGGAAATAAAGAGCACAGTTACAGAACTTCTAAATGTAAGAGAAGAAAAGACAACTGGCAAATAGAACAGACTGTTTAAACCTGGGAAGAAAATTATAAATCACAGGATAACCACAAAGAAAAATGATAAACATTCACATCAAAATAAAAAAGAGGACAAGCACAAATATTTATCAAATAACTAAACAATAGAAATAAGATGATGATAACACGACTCAAACAAAATGAGCACAGCACAGAAAATGATATGGAAAAAAGAAATAATCAACACAACAAAAAACAAGTAACAAAATGATATCAACGAATGCATACCTGTCTATAATTACACAAAATATAAATGCATTAAATGTGATAGAGAGTTGCAGATGGGATATGAAAACGTGACCAATCACTATTCTGTTTACAAGAGACTCACCTTAAAACACGAAGAAAAAAACAGACTAAAATGAAGGTTGGAAAAAGACATACGATGCAGATGGCAATCAAAAAAGAGCAGGAGTAGCAATATTAACTTCTGATAAAACAGACTTTGAGACAACAACTACCATAAGACATAAGGGAGACTATTATAGGATCCACGGAAGAAGAGGACCTAAATATAATAAATATCTATGCACTCAATGAACAAGCCCAAAAATACATAAATCAGACTTTACTAGAATTGAAAAGACAGATGACTCTAGAGTAACAGCAGGAGACTTCAATACACCATTTTCAATAAAAGAACACTTGGAAAGAAACTCAACAATGCAGCAGAAGAACTAAACAACACAATCAATGAACTTGACCTTATAGACACCTAAAGCACACTTAAAACAACAACACAATACACATTCTGCTCCAGCATACAAGGAACATTCTCCAAGACAGACCAAATGTTAAGCCACAAAGTAAACCTCAGTACATTTTAAAACACTGAA